AGGACCCGTCTAAACCTCACCTCTCCCAGAGGCTCTGCTTTGGGGTACCATCTCGGGGATGGGGTGGGGGTGGCACAGCTCAGCCCAAGGAGCAGGGTTACATGCTGGCCACTCTCCCTGGAGACAGGCGGAAGTCACGGGGGCCGTAAGAGCCAAGAGGTGGCACTGCACGTGCTTGTGCTAGGTGCTCACTGAATGCCCAGCAGGGACTGCAGGTGGCACTTCACACGCCACAGGTAGCCGCCTCCTGGGAAGAAGCTGGGGATGGGGAATGGAGGTTGGTGAGCAAGTTCCTCAAATCAAAACGCTTGTGCCGACAATGGAATTTTTAGAAATACTGTTTGATGCCTTTGTCTGAAAAGTCCTGTAACCGAAACAACAGTCCGCCGTGGTCTATCTACCTAGCCAGTCTGCTTTTGCACAAAAGGCAAATGGTGACTATCCTGGCTGGTTTAGGGGGCTGGTGACCGCATGGGGCTTCGTGTTTCCCGCCTCCGGGGTGGCAGTGGGATGCACACTGGCCTCCCGCTTCTCTGGAGCAGGACTGGGCCAGGATCTGGAGTGGAACTCCCCCCTCCCCTCAAAGGCGTGAGCTTGGCCCTGCATTGGGGGCAGGGCAAGGGCAGGAATTTTGGGGCGGTGGCCCCAGGTGCCCCTGGCATGAAGGGACCACAGACTAGCTCCTCCCTGTGCCCTCTCGCGAGACCCCCTTGCAGTCCAGCCACAGGAGTGGCCCAGCGGCAGCGGCAAAGGAGGATGGGGCAGCCTGGGGGTCTCTTGAGAAAATTCCAGCAGGATTCTGTGTTTTATCCCTGTTAAGAAGCACCCTCCTATCCCCTCCCTCCCCACCCTGCATTACCCCCCCTCCCCCCACACACACACTCTTTAAGTTCTGCAGTCAGAAAGCCTCCTGTTGACCCGGCCCCAGAGCTGTGTAGGGCATGATGGCGTTTATTTCCTAGTGGCTCATAAAACAGGTGCATCTTGCATCCAGTTCTGCCTTCGAGCCTAGGAAATGTCACCCCTGGAACCACTGCTGGTGGTGACAGCCTGGAGAGCCGCTTTCGGCCAGCAGCTGCCCCTCCCAGGGGCCACGCAGAATTCCTCTGTTGTCGCTGTACCAGCAAGCCTGGACCTGTCTCCTTTCCTTTGTCCCAAAGGCTGACTGCTCTATCGCACAACCCCCGACCCCTGTGTACCCCGAGCCCCCCTTGCCCCCCCCCCTTTGCAAGGACAGCCCCTGGGGGCAGCACATGCAGCAGGAGGAGCCAGGACGGGAGCCCAGGCTGAATGTGGACAATACCAGCTTCTCCCCTTTCTGCGCTTCAGGCTTGAGCCTTGACAGTGTGTTCATGTTAATTCCCTCCTGTCTGCTTTTTAAAACGGACATTCCTTGAGCGGTCTGACGTTGTCGTCTTGCTCAATCCCCACGACAGTGATTGCCGACAGGAAGAGGGAGGCTCAGGAATGGAAGTGCCCTGGCCAGGGCCCGGTGTTTGGTCGCCAGGCCTGGGGATGTGGCTCTCGTGCTGGTTCTGCTGGTGTCTGAATCCCGCCGGCTCGCCTTGATGGTGACCTTGGGGGCTGGCCAGGCCGTCCCTGGGGCAGCAGGAAGGACGCCGAGGACATGGGGTGCTCCGGGCATTGGAAGACAGCCCGGAACTGACACATTGCGGGGTTCTGTGGGCCTTTCCATGTTTCCCCTCCTATTCATGACGTAAAGCTATTTTCATATCAGCAACAAGGGCAGTGGAGACAAGATACCGAATGGGAAAAGTAGATACGGAGGGCGGCCTCTCCTGGGGTGAAGGGACTCTCGGGGCACAGTGCCGGCCCCAGCCCTCCTGAGCCGTAAAGCTCCACTTGCCATCCAAGTTGTGGCCCTAATTTTCAAGTCCCAGCTTCAGTTCCACCCCCC